ATTTCCCAAAGTGCCATGAATATAAATGACCATCAGTAAATGGTACCTACTGGAATGATTGCCTCTAGCAAACTAGAGGCCTGGTGCACGAATTTGTGCATGGGTGGGGTCTGGCTTGTCTGCCCCAATTGGGGCTGATCCTACAGGGCCGGCCAGGGGGAGGGGCTGAGGGTGGTTGGCTGGCCGGCCCCTCCCCCTGGTCAAAGTCCCCGTCAAGAGGATAATTTGCATATTAGCCTTTTATTATATAGGATAGGATTAAATGGGATATGCTACTACAAATGATGAAGCTTACACTTGAGGAACAGTTGAGTGGAGGGCGGTTTTCTAGAAATAACCCTAAGATCTGTTTGCTGTTTAAATATAATTTGTACCAGATTCAGCGGGATCTCACAAAGCTCCAAGGTTAACTTTGCTGGAGAAAAACCAAACGAGTAGGTCGCCGCAAACCACTTCTATTTTTGAAGGTGGTGATAATGATAGCTACTACTGGGTCTAGTTCAAGACAGGTGTCTGGTCAGTGGGCAGATGGGACCAAGGCCATGTGCTGTACGGTTTAGCCTCCTTATTAATGACTGGGAGGAGAATATTTCAGGTAATTTTAAGGGAAATTATCTACCGATCTATGGCACAGACACTATTATTCTCATATGATAAGGGGCTTTTTTTTTTTCTAATCAGAGTCCTATGCTGGGTAACACTGAAATCAATCTGCTGTCAGAGAAAGTTCTGCTTGTCCTTTTTTTGTGTGTGTGTGGCTGGACCACTTCGGCTTATGCCGGCCTTTTGGGAGTAAAAATATAAAAAATAAAAACAAATTCAAAGCAAGCCTTAACCATTAAGTAGGTCAAAATTACCACCCCCAGATCGAAATCTGATGGATGCATACGAAATCAGTCATGCTAGAGCTATCTGTTAGGCAGTTCAACAAATGACTTCATGTGTTTTAACTTTCCCCAACTATTGTTTTGATCTAGTAAAGAAAACACATGCAAAGGCGGGGCTTGTATGTATTATCATAATGAATTAAAGGAACAGGGAGAGAAATTGAAATCTCAGGGTTTCTCAGCCAGAAAGACAGCCCTTGTAAAATATTTCCCAGAAAAAAGCTGGATTAAATAATAAATGAGTGAATTCTGGGAGGGCGCAGGCCACTGGCATGGGCTTCCAGAAAACATTCTTTCTTCACCCTGAGGTTTCAAATGCAGCAAGAGGTAACGTTGACTGTTTTGCCTGAACCCACAGGCTTTGAGTTGGAGTCCGTGGACCCATTTTGAGAGATGTTATGTAATTTTACACACATGTATGTGTGTCTACAGACATAGCTTATGGAAGGAGTCCAGAATATGCCACTGTGGCATGAAATTATTTTGAGCCGAAAGCATTTGAGAATCAACAGATAGCGGAATCCCCTCCACCCCCCACTCCCCGCCCCGAATTCCTTTATCTGAATAAAAGTAGAGCCTCCCAAAGGAACTCAATTGTTTAAATTCCCTCTCCAACAGCAACCTAGGAAGATAGACTGTCATCACCTGAGACAACAAGAAGACATTACACCTAAAGCCCTGGTCGGCAAACTGCGGCTCTCGAGCCACATGGGGCTCTTTGGCCCCTTGAGTGTGGCTCTTCCTAAGCCTTAGGAGCACCCTACTTAAGTGAATAACAATGTACCTACCTATATAGTGTAAGTTTAAAAAATGTGCCTCTCAAAAGAAATCTCAATCGTTGTACTGTTGATACTTGGCTGTTGACTAATGAGTTTGCCGACCACTGACCTAAAGAGATATTGCCACACAGCCATCCTATCTCTAGTCGCCTAAGGACACACCTGTTTGCCCTAAAAGTCATTTGTGTTCCCACAAGCCATTGGGACCTCCTTCCCTTTCTAAGAAGCCATCTGTATTCCGGTTTTAAGTGCCTTTCTTCTCCTGTGAAGACAGCATAGAAGCCTTTCTCATGCTTTAGTACAGAGGTTCTCAACCTGTGGGTCGCGACCCCTTTGGCGGTCGAACGACCCTTTCACAGGGGTTGCCTAAGACCATCCTGCATATCAGATATTTACATGTCGATTCATCACAGGAGCAACATGACAGTGATGAAGTAGCCAAGAAAATAATTTGATGGTCGGGTCCCAACATGAGGAACTGTATTTAAAGGGCCAGAAGGTTGAGAACCACTATTTTAGTAGGTGATCAGTTAGTACTCCTGATAATAATAATAATAATAAAATCTTTAAAAGCTGACAATTGACTAAACTGAATTTCACACATAGTAAGATGGCGTGGGGCCCGTCTCTTTTGGGTGTATTGTGGAAAATTACTCCCAGCTCTTACACAATTTTAAGTGTTTATTTTCATTGGTTCTCTTCCCTGTTTTTTTCTTGTTTTTATTGATTTCAAAGAGTGGGAGAGGGTGAGAGAGAGAGAGAGACATCGACGATGAGAGAAAATCATGGATCGGCTGCCTCCTGCACGCCCCACCCTGGGGAATCGAGCTTACAACCTAGGCATGTGCCCTGACGGGGAATTGAACCCTGACCTCCTGGTTCATAGGCCGGCCCCATACAAATTCCCGGTGACTTACAGAAACCTTCACATTGCACTTACAACTCCCATTCCGCTTTTGCATCCAGTGTCTACTTAATCGATTAACAACTGTTTTCCACAGGCAGCTTTTAAGGGTTGATTCGGCCCAGCGGCCCAGAGGCCGGTGATGGCCTAAACTTGACTCGGAGAATTCCAGTCGGGGGGACTGCAGAGGAAGTAGGTCTAGCTGATGATGCCTTCTGGTCAGGCAGTGTTATTTCATTTTGAAACTCTATAGAAAGAGAACAATAAAGCATCGGTTCCGCGTTTAAATAAATACGGGGTTGTTTTGCCACCGAAGAACATTCTCCTTCCAATGACTGATCCGATCTCACACATGTCTATTTAAAAACGCCTGACTGGGGCCCTTACGAAATGATAGACTGGGACAAAGGAGATGAGAGCTGGGAGCGAGACAATGAGGCATTGTTTACACAGAAGACGGAGTAACCGGTTTCACAAAGGAGCTTCTTGGGTGTCTATTGTATGTACAACTCAGAGATTTACTGGAGCTTTTATAATTTCTGCAGGACTCCTTTCCAGCCAGCGGTCATTAACGTGAAGTAAATCAAATCATGCAGAAATCTGACTCGGCCCGAAAGCAAACCCGGCAAGATCTAATCCGAAGAAAAACAGACACGGGGGATGATAAGGTTTAGAATCTTTGGCATGTTTCATAAACATTTTGTTTGAAGATTATTAAATTACAACCCAGAGAGGGAGGATGGGGGGAGGGAGGGGGAAACACCATAGTAAAACTCACTATTAAATCAGATCTTTTTCCCCCTCAATATCCTTTACAATATATATACTACATATACATATATATATAATGGCACATACAAAGTATGTGTGGACAAAATACAGTCTTTACAACTTACATGTCGCTTGAGAAGAAATTTTCAGATCATATGTGTGCCCAAAATTGGAACTTTTACTGGGG